AATAGTCAAATCGAATTTAGTACACTTCAGGCGATTAGTATGCTTCAGGCGAGTTAATGTTGGGTGATATACATCTACCTCAATCCGAAATTATATGATTTCATAAGTTGTAATTAAACCTGTTTTAATGCAATTGAATTGAAATTTATCATAGTCAATCCATAGGTAAAAATAATGTATCGCGGACTGTGCTTAATGTGACGACCTACGGCAGCCACAATATCCATTCGATTATTCGTGTATATTTGGATTAACAACAATATGAATTAGAATGTAATGATTTTAGTTTGAAAATAATCCGCGAAAGCGATATTAAAACCGATTATAATTTGTTCGGAATTAAAATCGATTACTTTTTAATCCGGGCGCGGATTGAACCGATTAAAACCGATTAAAACGGATTATGTTTTAATCGGTTTGAATCGACCATTTTCAGCAGGGCAGGTACTTGGCATGATCTGCTTTCGACAGACTTGGCTATCTGGGAATATTTCTAAGGGCGGACATTTCAACATTGCCGCAAGCTTGCAGTAATATTGCAGAAACATTTTGCAACTTCTATGCAATATTACAATGTTTCAATGCAAGGTTTATGCAACGTTTCTGCAATCTTTCGGTGCTGTATAGGGAGTGGAATTAAAATAAAGTCCGATTGAAAATATTAATACCAAAAATAATACTATTTATTTCCTAGTGGTGTTTACACATTTTACGAAATAATGGGTTGCACCCATTCCATTACCAACATGTACAGTAACTTCTTGCACGAGACGAAATATTATAGCGCGTCCACTTTTGCGAAGGTATTTTTATTTTTTTAATTTCAGTTTTTCTTCGATATTCACGGCACTTTTAGAATTTGATAATCATTAATAAAACACGCACAGGGTTCCTCGCACAGTGTCGGCGAAACGCTTCATTTTCCGACCGTATCTTGTGAACAGATGAGTCTACATTCACACCAAATGGCGTATTTAATTCTCCCAATTTCGTGACCTGGCAAGATGAGAATCCTCACGCCATCCGTCAGTGCTCATTACAATATCGCTGATCTATAAATGGACAGTTAAAAATTTTTTAACTTTTTTTCGTTTTCAGCATAAAGTCGACTGTCAAAGATTTGTTTCAAAAGCTCAAGTTGCTTCTTTCAAGCTTTATGCAATATTTTATTAGTAAAAAGGGAAGTCTAGTGATTTAACTATAACGCTACCACACCCTAGCGACGCCGTTGTCACCTATCGGCCGCCTATCGGAACTATATGGCTCAGAAGCCAACGGCGAGTATATTCTAACATAATATAACATAAAACAATTGCTCCTTAATTGCTTCGCATTGGATTTTTTGGTAGAATAATTGCACCTCGCTTGCTCTATTATGATATTCGCGATCGCTCTATTTGTATAATTAATCTTTTTATGATATATTAGCAAAAAAAAACAATCATTTTCTTGGAAAAACATATTTTCCGTAGTCTACTGCAAGTCTATCCAACATAAAACGATTGCTCCTTAATTGCTTCATATTTAAAATCGTCTTAAGCCCGTATCAGACTACGCATTGAAGATTGATATTCAAGATTCAAGATTGAAATTTGACCAATCAGAACACGAAATTTTAATCTTTTTTGTTCTGATTAGTCAAATTCCAATCTTTAATCTTCAATCTTTCATTTTTAATGCGTAGTCTGATACGGGCTTAACGTGTTGAAACATGTTTGGTCCTGTCTAAAGCCCGTTTCAGACTACGCATTGAAGATTGAGATTGAAGTTTGAAGACTATGGATTGAAAAATAAAGATTAAAGATTGGAATTTGAAAGTGGAGCTGCCCAGGTGCTGCTTGATGGTCTACAAATTCTTTGTTCCACCATATTAATTTGTCTATTAGTAATATATTATCTATTATATTGTCTTATCTATATATTATCTATTAGTAATATATTATATACGTTATAGTAATATATATGAGACGCTCCTGCGGGCAGCGTCACGCGCGCGATCGGCGGCTCGGCCGTCGAGCTTCGAGCGGTAGTGGGGGGGACCGTAGGCGTCGCCTCACATATCGGCCCGAAAAGGGCAACTATCTCCGAGCACTGGCTTAAAATATAAAACAGAAGTTAACTTCCATATAAATAAAATGTTTAATTTTATAAATTAAATTATTTAAATTTACCTATAATATATATCACATTAATATGTGTTATATTATTACTGTACGTTACGCTAATTCGCGTTTCCGCGCTTCATGTAATGGCACCCTTAAAGATTGGAATTTGACTAATCAGAACAAAAAGAACTAAAATTTCTTTGTTCTGATTGGTCAAATTTCAATCTTCAATCTTCAATCTCAATCTTCAACGCGTAGTCTGATATGAGCATAAGGCTGTGTTCCGATTCCCCACCCAGGTGCACCCGATATTACAGAGGGCCGCGTTCGAGAACATCACCCGTGTGCACACGAGTGTCCTTCTGTCTTTGTTCAACTTTCAGCAAATAACAAAGATAGAACGACGCTCGGTGCACACGAGTGATGTTCTCGAACACAGCCCAGCAGTATACGTGACATAGGCTACGGTCGAGAAGACGCTAGAAATGCTTCGAAGCATTGCATTAACCATAGACATAGTATATCTAGACCGAGCGTTTGCCTTTATTAAAGGAGTGGGAGCCGATGCCCACGTAGAAAAGGACATACTCTGTTTCGTGCCTCTTGCGTTCTCTCTCGCTCGCACAGAGCATAGCGCTCTCTTTCGTCATGCTACGTGCGAGCGAGAGAGAACGCAAGTGGCACGAAACAAAGTATGTCCTTTTCTACGTGGGCATCGGCCCCCACTCCTCAACACTCAGTCTAGATATACTATGTCTATGGCATTAACTAATTAGAATAAAGAAATTTTTACTCTCTTTGTCCTGATTGGTCAATCAAACGCTTCGAAGCATTTCTAGCGTCTTTCCGACCGCAGCCATATATTATAATATCGGGTGCACCCGAGTGGGGAATCGGAAATCGGAAGTATCGGAACACAGTGTAACCGGACTTGGTGAAATTGGTCTGGCAGTATTTTCTCAAATTTCAAATTTACTTTTTTTGATCCCAGTAATTGTTCGTAAAGATAGTAATGGATCAAATGTATAAACTTTATGATCGTCAAGCATCACCAAAGATTTGTCTGAAAAATTATTTTCAGCAATATAGTGAATTATTGAAGTCTTATTTATGTTATGATATAAACGAACAAAGTGAGGAAAAGATTTTTCAACTTATGGATGTTAGCCTTTCACAAGCAAGAACTCATTTAATCAAACATTATTGCAGGTATTTCACATTACGATATATAGTAAATATTAATATATTTATTAGTTAAGTTAATATATTTACCTATTATTAACAAATAAAAATTAAAGAAAAAATACTTTTATATATTAAATTAGAATTAATTTTGCAGTATTGATAATTTATCATTATTAATGGAAACTGCCTATATGAAAGAAGAGGAAAAACAGGAATACAATAAAATAAAAGATCTGAAAAGATCTGAAAAGATCTTAAATAATACTCCATTGGAAACGATTAAAATGTTAAAGACATTATCTAAGGAAACCTTAATAAAACCGAAAATTCAAAATGGAATTCCAATTGTTAGTAATTACAAGAAAGTATATGAAGAACAGAGAAAAAGCGAGAAAGAAGGAATATATAAAAGTCGAGTTTATAAAATTTTTTAAATTTTGTCAAAATTAAACTAAAATTTTGGTTATGAACACTTTGTGATCATTACACTACTTTGCTTAATATATGTACGCTATAAACAGTAAATCTGTTTTTTATCATTAATGTTATATCAAGATAATAAATGGTTTTTTCAGAAATATGATGAATCAAGATGGCCCAATAAGAATTCTGTAATACCGTGTGAAGAATTTTTAGTTTATTGTAGAGTGTATGAGCCATTTGAAAGCCAGTCTCGTTTTTTTAAGTATAAGACAAACAATGTCCCAGTTCTTAAACTTAAAAGTGTCATATCGATTCTAGGATGTCAAACTCTTTATGAACTACGTCAAAAGATAATATGTCAATCTGATCTATCAATTACAACAGACGCTAGTAAAAATCCAAATCGTCAAAAGCTTGGATCAATGGCAAAAGTAACTATTTTTTAAATTTTAAGCTTTATCTGTTTTATAATATTCTGTGTATAAATTATATATAAAAATAACTGTATATTTCTCTGTTTATAATTATAGAATATCTATAAATCAGGATTCTTTTTCATTGAAGATACATTTTATAATGATACTAGCGTATTAACAAATGTTGATTATAGTAGTGTTATATTAAAATGGGCAGCAACTCGTAATATAGGTCCATTTAAAGTTGCAACCATGAACACTCAAATAAATTCTCTATGTGCAAGGTTTGGTTTTCCATGGGTATATCAACATCAGGGTTGTTGTGAACATTTGATTGTATTGACCGATGCCAGGTGATTTTTAATATACATATATTATAGAAATATTTTTTAAATTTTCAATAATGCTAATTTCTAATATTGCTAAAAAAAAAGTAGTGTGTCAAATAAAACAAAAAATAAATCATAAAGTTGCATGTACTCTTGATATCATTTTATTTAATAATTATCAATTATTTTTAATAGGTTAGTGACTGTGAATGATGTATTATCATTATCTGCCTATCCAAGAATAGAAAGAATAAGACCTGCCTCTGGGAAAAACTGTATTTATTGTGGAATATTTAATGTACACTGGATTGTAACAGAACATAATAGGATACCGCATGACATAAGTTATTTCTGTCATAAATGTTTTATGTCTTATAATTATGTTGATGGTAAAAAAATTGGAAATTTTAAAGCATATAATTATCCTTACATACCAAAATTAATGTTTGTTAGAAAACGTAGAGCAACATTTAGAGAGTAAAGTTTTTATCAATTTCTTAATTATTTATATTATAAATGTATTTAGAAAATATAACAAATAATTTCATAAAAAATTATTTTATTGATGTCTCTAATGTGTACAATCTCTGCAAATTTTCTTTGGCACTAGATAAATCTGGCTTTAACTGTAATGCTTTCTTATACATTTGTTTTGCTGCATTTAATTTATTCCAACGATGATATAAAACACCTAAATATAATTTTAATTAATTTATTTTCATTAGCCAAATAATATTAATTTTATATAACTTGTTTTTAAATAATAAGTTTTCTTGTTATACCTAAATTTGCATAAATCATAGGATCTATAGGATTTTTCGATATTGCCAATTTAAACTGGATTTCTGCTTCTTCATATTTTCCTTTTTTCCCTAAAATGTTGGCAATGTTGAAATAGATGGCAGCATGATCTGAGATAAATTGCAAAGCTTTATTTGCCATTCTTAACGCTTCTTCTGTCTTACCTAAAAGTTTTACATTAGAATGTATTATATTTCAACATATTTAAAATATACATATATATATATATGTCCGAGTAAGCAAAATGCGCGCAATATGCAGCAGGTTGGCAACAAATTTCCTCAGCTCTTGCTAGCAATTTGGCATCTGTTGCGTCCGCATTAGGCTTCTCATACAGCACAGAACATTGCAGCAACATTTGCAACATTGTCGCAATATTGCTACAATGTTGCAATGTTGCTACAACGTTCTGTGCTGTATGAGTTACTATCTGCCATAAGAGCCTGCTCACAGAATCTGACAGCAGATTGGCAGCAGAAACCAAGCAGGACCTGCTAACATGATTTGACATCAGATTAGCGGCAGAAACTGAGCAGAATCTGCAGCAGCTTTTGGCCATTCATATAAAATGGTACATTTAAATGGATTTAAAGGGTCTCAATCCCAAGTAGAAAAATGACGGTAAATTTTGATCACAAAATGATCAATTAGACGTCCTAAGATGGTCTCATGAGACCCGAAAATGACGTCAATAGTCGATATGTTATATTCATGGGACGTCATTTTCTGACGTTTGTATTAATAACAAATGTAGAATATTAATAACAAATATTAATGTAATTTATATAGGAAAATTTAAATAATTTAATTTTATAAATTAAATTACAAACGATTCTCACTTATTCGGACAGAAATTGTCCGAATAAGTGAAAATCGGACATTTATCTATCCGATTTTCCAAAAATCAGTTCAATATCTGAATTTCCCTGTACGGGAATTATATCAAAAATTAAACTGATAGAAATAATTACAATGTTATTAGCCGCATGTTGCAGGTTTTATATAAGCTTATGACAAAAACTTGAATATAGATATAGAAAGTGAATAATGCATCGCATAGCGGTAAGCGAATAAACTATACCATTTCAATAAATTATATAAATAGCTAAAAGCTGCAAATTCTGCTTGGTTTCTACTGCCAATTTGCCGTCAGATTGCGCGCGCGCGCAGATCTTGCTTGATTTCTGCCGACAATCTGTCATCAGATTGAGCGCATGCAGATCTTGCTCAGTTTCTGCCGCCAATCTGACGTCAAGTCATGTTAACAAATCCTCGGTTTCTGCTGTCAAATTCTGTGAGCAGGCTTTGCTTGGTTTTTGTCAGCATCTGTCGATTTAATCTGTAATAACAACTTCTGTACCAAATTTATATCCTTTTTGTTAATAACAGTTGACAGCAGGCACTTGGCATGATTTGCTTTCGACAGACCTGGCTATCTGGATATATATATATATGAAGAACTCCATTAGTTTAAAGATATGCACAAACCTAAATCATCTAATAGTAATATTATATTCGTCCATGCTCGTCTATGTGTAGGTTTTTGTTTGGTTGCATTTATCCAAGCTTTCAGTGCCTTATCATATTGTATTTGTTCCAGATACTATAAAAAAAATAATTTTTCGGATTATTTATAACTTAATAGTCAAAGATAGCTTAAAATTATATTTTTCACTCACTAATATGCCTAGATTATAGTAACAATCTGGATAATTTGATCGGTGCTGTAGAGCTGTAAAATAACTGGTTTCTGATTTCTTGTATTGCTTCAATGATGATTGAACTATTCCTAGATTCATCCACGCTGTTGCAAAATCTTTCCTAAAATTCAGAGTCTTATGTATGTATGTGTTACTACACACACTCACTCACGCACGCACATACACATACATATATGTATATATACCAAATTATATATACAAATAATTCTGTAATTATATATACATATAATTCATATACAAAATCTTTGCAATACAAATAAATACAAAAAAAATTAATGATTGAATACATTAATCTTAAATCTCAAATAATGTGACAAATAATCAAGAGACATGGTAATGTCTCGCGCCAAGTCACGCGAAGCATTAAACTTACTGCAAACTGATAGCTTGTTTAAATAAACTTATGGCTTTTAAAAGTTGTCCATCGTCTCTTAGTAAATTACCAAGATTGTTCATAGCTTGAGTATAATTTGGGTTTAATCTGCAGCATAAATAGTATTAATATATAATTAATAAATTTTTTGAATTTTTTGAAAAAATTAATGTTTTATATGTATATATATATATATATACTGTAAGGCTTCTTGATATTCCAGTTTGGCAAGATTAAGGTCTCCTGCATCTGCAGCATTTTTTGCGATATTATAATGTACTTTTGCATTCAAAGGACATACATCTAATCCTGATTGGAAAAGTAATTTTTCATTTCTCCATTGGCCACTCCTCATCCAGGAACGTGTGAACAATAATACAATAAGCATTATATATGCAAACAATGCCGCCTTAGGAAAAAAGAATCGAGCAGAGAATTTGTGTAGGCCAATTGTAATCAACAAACAATATGTACATATATTATGTACAAGATGTTCACGATTTATATAATCTATAAAAAAGTTGGGGTTTTCTATGTAAAAAAAACTAGGTTGACCTTTACATGACCTTAGTTCAAATCCAAGATTATGTCAACTTTTTTCTCTCTCAAAAAATCCTATAAATTTTGTCTGAAACTTTTTTTGTATAACGTCAAGTTTTGGAGAAAATCTCCCCTAGCCCATCATTCGTGAACAACCTGTACATATAGGATGATTCCGGAAAATTGTGATAAACTTAAAGAGATAATAGATCTCATTAAATAAAATAACTTTTATTAAGTAATCTATGTTCGGCAATTCCTTCTTAAAGCACTAAGGGTCAGTTTTTAGCCTTGTTGAATATTGTTTGATTTCTGTAAGTCTAGATAAATTAGGATAGATCAGAATAAAATTGTTTTTAAATTTTATCTTTTTTTTGTATTACTATAGAATAAATGCCTAAAATAATGACCTTTAATCTTTAATCTCGTTACAAGTAGGTCGATATTTAGCGTCTTAAGATGTTATCGAACATGGAGTATTTAACAAAAGTTGTTCTACATTTTAACGAGATCTAAGTACTACCTTTTTAAGTTTGTCGCAATTTTCCGATCACTCTGTATATATTATATGTATATATGCACACATTTACGCGCGCGAATGTTTTACATGTACAGCATATATCGAAAATCGTGATACAATGAAGTTGATTCTTCATAAAAATAATATAGAATACAATTTTTTCATACAGAATTTTGTTAGAAAATTGATGTTGAAAATATGTTTAATATACATATAGGCGCTCCAATAATAAAAATACAATTGATTATACGTAATCTGAGCGCATAATTTTGAAATCATGATCATATATTGTTATATGGGGGAGAGTAATAATAGTAGCAAGCGTTGTCTTCTATCCACTGGTTAGAGTCTGACAAGCGAATGAAATGGCTGGTGTGATTGGACATTATTCCAAATAAGAGGTGCGTGCACTTATCAGATTTTTGCAAACAGAAAGCGTGAATTAGAGTGAGATTCATAATTAGATTAATAAATTTTTATGGTCAGAACGTGCTAAGCTGAAAAAAAATGTGCGTGATGCAACATCTTTCAAAGTCAAAGATGTGCCGTTCTGCCATCTATGGATTTGTTGCATCACACGCATACTTCTTTTCAGCTTAAAACATCCTGGTCATAAATATTTATTGACCTGATAATGAATTTCATACTCTAATTCACATCTTCTGCTTGCAGAAATCTGATAAAAATCTGATCTTTATATGTCACAAAGAAAGTTACATTTTTAGTAATTTGTAATTTAATGAAATACAAGGGCAATTCAATAAATAAGATAACAAGATCTGTCATGAGAATACATGTGTTCATATCTTAGAACATATATAAATGGAAGGGGAATGCCTTTGTTTCCAGATAGAAAAACATGTCGGAAGGAAGTAAGAAAGAAAATCATAGTTGCCTCTTTCTTGTGAGTTACTCTGCTCAAAAGTGCGCATGCACGGCCATGTGTGTGTACACAAAAGTATGTATACTACAGACACGATGCTTGTATGTGTAGTTACTCCCAAGAGAGAGGCAACTACGATTTCTTTCTCACTTCCTTCCGACACTTTTCAGCCTGCTATTCCCCTTCCATTTATATATGTTCTAAGGTTCTAAGGTTCATATATAACTGTAACATATCACTGCATATATTACTTTTCCATATATTTCCTATATGTGTCCAGACATTTGCTCCACTGATACATCAAGATATCAATTTCAGCAGAGAAAAAATCAAGGTCCTAAACCCAAGATATTATGTGCTGAACTGTGGTATCAATTGCATATTGTTTTTTAGCCAAGTGCTTCTTCAATGATCCAAAGAGATGAAAATCACTTGGTGCAAAGTCAAAGCTATAGGCTGGGTAGTCTAACACCTGTCCCCTTAGCTCTAGGATCTTGATACTGATTTCTTTACTATTGAAATCAATGCTTTGGTGCAATAGTAAAACAAATGTTTGGACACATATAGGGAATATGGAAGAGTAATATCTGCAATGATATGTTCCAAGTAGTAATTTTAACAGTTATATATGAATATACATGTATTCTCATGACAAATCTTGTTATCTTATTTATTGAAATATTCTTGTAAATTATTGAAACTTGTTGTGCATTACTTTGACTCATTAAATCATGACATTATTTATAAATATGAATAGAAATAATTGTATATAGCAAGATCCGATTATCGTTAAATCAAGTGCATACATATTGATGGATCTTCAAAGTCGATTTTCTCGAAAACGGAGCCTTATATGAAAAAATTTTATTCTATATTTTGGACTTGTATTTGTAAGAAGAATCACATCTCCATTTTGCTTGTATCATTCTTTCGGATACATCTTGTACATGTATTTCTTACCATTTGCATGCACACACACACATTCTCATCATGTACATGTATCTTAAACTTCTAAAAATTTTGGAATTACCTCGAAGTTTTATCCTTATGAATAAACGTGTACATAATGAATGCTCCAAATAGTAACCAGAAAATAATAACTACAAGAATTCTGTAGTCATAGCCGGTAATTAAAGATATACAACCCATTGACCAATCAAAACACAGCCATATAGGACATATAAGTAACCATATATTCAAGCAATAAATATAATTGTAATTAAGTATGCGAAAAAATATATTCTTCATAAAAGATGCTGGGTTATCTACTGGTTGAAATTTGGGAACAGAAAACCCCATAAGACTAAATCTTAGAAATAAAAGTATTATTGCAATGAAAACAATTATAACAAGTCGTAATATTGTATTATTGTTATTAACGAAATTCTTTAAATTTTTATTTGAATGCTTAAACAAAAGTAATTTAATTATATCAATTGGATATATCTTGTTCACTATAACTATATCGTATACTGCACAAATTCCCTGAAAGATAAAGATAATACAGGGTTTTACATAGTTATACAGGGTGTCTGATAATAATCGCCCCACCCGTAATATGCAGATAGAGCGGATTAGACCGAGCAGGAAAGTCCTTTACCATTTTGCGATTTTTGTAATAATTATTAAGAAATTAATTTAAAAAGATCGACCAATTCGCGCGAGTATAAGCGCGCAGCGAGAAGAGACAACCCAAAAGTAGGCGCGCGACAAAGTTTTGGGAGGAGTACTCTACAAATGACAATAGTTACGTACGAGCAATACATAACGATGGATTCTCGCGTCCTAACAACCACATATCAATGCCGCCCATATCACGCCATCTTTTCTCACAGCGCGGTAATACTCGCGCGAATTGGCCGATCTTTTTAAATTAATTTCTCATTAATTATTGCGAAGATCGTAAAACGGTAGAGAACTTTCCTACTCGGTTTAATCCGCTCTACCTGCACATTACCGGTGAGGCGATTATTATCAGACACTTTGAAAGAAATTCAAATTACACAAAAGTGTAATTTTAACACTCACAATGGCAGTAATTCCAGTTTCTTTACATAGCATTGCTATGGTTATACAAATAGCAGAACCAGACATAGCAGTCCATGCATAAAGTGAATTTTTTGCATATATTACACAATTGTATAATAAAATTGACAACCATGTAAATGAAGTGCATAATAATTCAGCACGTCCTACAATTCCAGATACCTGGCATATAAAAGCACACAAATTAGAATATAATAAATTTAGATATAAATAAGTGAAAATATATATGAATTTTTTACAGCTTCTGTATGAATTGGATGAACTGCAAATAAAGTTGCAGCATAAAAAGAGATATTCTGTCCTTTTGGTCCCAAAATTAGATTATATACAAAAAAAGTTAACAAACTATTCATACTGTGTAATATTATATTTAGTATGTGATAATCTCGTGAAATTAAATCTTGTCGTAACCAGAAATGTAATCTATAAAGATGAAAAGAACATAAAATTAATTTTTGTATACTTTTAATAAAATATTATTACATGTATTACTGAAGTACTTAAAGTTACTGTTTCCTCATTGCAGCAATATTTATCATATCAGAAAAGAGAAATCATGTAATTTGTTTTCTTGCAAAAAATACATTAAACTAAATTAGTTTTTCTAATATCCCACAACACATGTTTGATGAATTGATAAAATAAATTAAAAATTCTTTTTTTTTTTGGTATGCTCTTGCATTAGTAAATGCATATATAATATTAATCTACATATCTTTTCTATTTTTAGCAAAAATAAATCATAATATTATATAATATATATACAGGGTGTCTGGTAACAATCGTGCCAACACTCGTGAGCGGATAGAGTACAGTAAACTGAACAGAAAAGTCCTTTACTATTTTGCAATTTTCGTAATAATTATTGAGAAATTAATTTAAAAGAATCGACCAATTCGTGTGAGTATAAGCGTGCAGTAAAAAGGGACAACTCATTGATGTGTGGTTGCTAGGACACGAGAATCCATCGTTATATATCGCTCGTACGTAATCGTTGTCATTTGTAGAATGCTCCTCCCAAAACTTCCTCGCGCGCCTAGCAAACTTTTGGGATGTCTCTGGGCCGTTCTTTCTTGGCACGCGTTTATAGTCACGCGAATTGGTTGATCTTTTTAAATTAATTTCTCAATAATTATTACAAAAATCGCAAAATGATACAGGACTTTTCTGTTCAGTTTACTGTGCTCTACACGCTCACGAGCGTTGGCACGATCTTTACCAGACAGCCTGTGTGTATATACAGGGTGGTCCTCGTAACGGTCGCCACGATTTTTAAGGCACTCACAATAATCTGACATACACTCAATACTTACTTCACTCAATAATAACTCCTTTATTAAGCGTTATAGAAAAAAATGTTACAGGAATTTTCTGTTCAGTTTACTGTGCTCTACCCGCTCACGAGCGTTAGCACAATCTTTACCGGACCTGAAATGATGCACTAAACTTTAAGGAGCGTATTCTAGAGGTCAAAATAAGACTTTTTTTTTCTTATGAACATGGGTCCCCTCGGAGGAGGGTTCATTTGCGGACCAATGTTCATAGGAAAAAGTCTTATTTTGACCTCTAGAATATGCTCCTAAAGTTTAGTGCATCATTTCAGATACACCCTGTCACACATACCTGGCAGGTGATTTGTTATTTTATTTTTCATAATATTCTCAATAAATATAAAAGTTAATGCATCTTGTTTTTGTTTACACAATTATCTAGGTTACGTTCCGAAATGTCTACCATTGAACTCTATTCATAGGACGCGTTCCACTTAACGACCGCCAGGGTTGGGTAGGTATCATGAAGGAAGAGTAAATCCCATAGACATAGTATATCTAGACCGAGTGTTGAGGAGTGGGGGCTAAGGTGCAGCCCGTATCAGACTACGCATTGAAAATTGAAGATTGAAGATTAAAGATTGGAATTTATCTAATCAGAACAAAAGGGACTAAACTTTCTTTGTCCTGTTTGGTCAAATTCTGATCTTCAATCTTTAATCTCAATCTTCAATGCGTAGTCTGATACGGGCTTAAGGAGAGTTATCACCGCCGTAGAGTTAGAGAAATTAAATATTTTCTAATTATTTTATATTATATAATTTGGGAATCGTTTGGGGAAGTTTAGGAAAATCGTTTGCACTGAACTGCATTGTCGAAAATCTCAGTGCAATTCAGTGTCTTCTGCACTAGTGCAATGTATTTCAACCAAACGTACAAATAACACTGCACTGGGATAATGCAGTTCAGTCAAACACGTTTTCACTAGCACATATTTTTAGTGCATTATCAACCGAATACACATAAAATTCTGAACCAATACAGGGCAAGCCAACCGAATACTAAATACTGAAAGAGTGCGCACTAGTGCATCCAATCGAATTCGCCAAAAGACATGGGCTGTTCTTTATAGCTGAACTGGCTGCACTAGTTCAGAGCTTATCTTTCTCCCTCCAATGTGGAGAGAAAAAGATAAACTCTGAACTAGTGTAGAGTCCTATATAGGCCGTGTTCGGATATTCACTACCAGTACTGAAAATCTATAGTTTACGTCACATACACTATAGATTTTCAGTACTGGCAGTGAATATCGGAATACGGCCATAATCAGAGAAGCGACAATGGCGTTCCGCTTGCTGATTGGCTGACCGCCATGGGCCCGTTCCACTTAATGACCGCTCGCGGTATCATTTCATCTTTGTTGTTCACCGAAAGTTAAACAAAGACAGATGATGCTCACGAGCGTTGCGGTCGTTAAGTGGAACGCGCCCTATGTTGATCCTGTAGTAAATCCTACGTGCAAACTAACCGCAATTGGCGTACCATAGGTGAGAAAAAAGTATATTTGTCAAGCGATGCGGTAGCGTCCCGACGCCAAGTAATGTTATTTTCTAAAAAAAAAACATTTTAAATATCTCTGAGATATTTTTAAGACGTTTTAGATTACAAATGGGCAGCTGCGAGACCAACATGGCGATCATGGGAAGCATGGAGGGGGTAACGATGTCGCTTCTCTGATTATATAGGATTCTAAGGCCGGTATTCATAGTCAGTTCTTATATTTAAGACCGTCTTAAGCACAATCTTAAGATGTCCTAAACCAATCACAGAGCCGTATTAGCATCTTAAGACATTACTTAAGACGGTTTTAAAATAAGAACTGACTATGAATACCGGCCTAAACTAGTGCAGCCAGTTCAGCTATAAAGGACAGACCTATAGAGAGGGGCCACGCCGCCGTTTTTCCTGTAACGCTTTCTCTAGCCGGTACAGTGGCGCTAATTAGATCCATTTTAGAGCCGGCGGAACTACGTGGCCGGATCCTCTTTTCGGTGCCATGGTAAAACGATCGATTGGTGCATGTCCGTGCTAGATCCACAATTATGGATCTAGCATGGACATACATCAATCAACCGTTTTAATCAAAAATACGAAAATATTATAGATTTATTAATATTTTATGTTAGCTGCGCGTGATTTGTTTTTATTTTAATACATATTAATTATTATAATTATTTTATGTATACCCTGCCGAAAATGGTCGATTAAAACCGATTAAAACATAATCCGTTTTAATCGGTTTTAATCGGTTCAATCCGCGCCCGGATTAAAAAGTAATCGATTTTAATTCCGAACGAACTATAATCGGTTTTAATATCGCTTTCGCGGATTATTTCCAATCTAAAATCATTACATTCTAATCCATATTGTTGTCAATCCAAATAAACACGAATAATCAAATGGATATTGTGGCTGCCGCAGGTCACATTAAGCACAATCCGCGATACAATAGTACGACCCGCAACTTGGCGGCCCACGCGCTCACGCGTCCGCGCGTAGTTCCGGGCGGCGCCGCTACGCGGCGAAGGTCGAGCGAGCCAACCTGGAAGTAGAAAGCGGTCAAACGGGGATATAAGGCGGACCCTCTGCGGAGAAATCGTATATTTGTTTTTAACAACTGAGTCCGTTTCAATTGTAGAAACACCGATTTAATAATTGATTGTGACTCATGATAACAGCAAATCCGACTTCACACTACATAAAATCAATTTACTTTTCATCTGCGAAATGATAAAATTTTTTATTAAACGGGATTATTTTTACCTATGGATTGACTATGGTAAATTCCAATTCAATTGGATTAAAACAGGTTTAATTATAACTTTATGAAATCGTATAATTTCGGATTGAGGTGGAGATATATCATCCAACATTAATCTCGCCTGAAGCGTACTAAATTCGATTTGACTATTTTCAATCGGTTTTAATACCGCATTTTCGGTGCAGAAATCCCGATCGATCCGGATTACGTTTTTTTAAATCGGTTTTAATCGACCATTTTCGGCAGGGTAATCTTAGCACTATGTTTTGTCAGTAAGCGGTCAAATTTCTCACTAAGTCTGTCGCGCTGGTTAATAAAAAAGGAGTGCAGTGGTCCTTGTTGTTTGGTAAAAAAAGTATTGCAGACAGATAATGGAATGTCGCAGTATAATAAGCGCGAGAGCTTATAAATCTGAGTGTGTGCAGATCTGATGTGTGAATATGTGTCCGACAGTTCAATTCGTAATAACTTCTTACTAAAAAGATGTCTACAATGTTTAAAGTCATTAGCGGATTTCTGGCTGAAAAAGTCGGTACTCAAACGAAAGTTAGACAAATGCGGAGGTATGATGTTAAATCTAATGCATTTACGTAATAATTCGGTCTTTAATCTACTTTTAATGATGGATTTATTGTATTTGATCCATGATTTAAACAATAAGACAGTATTCTGTCCAAAAACGCAACTAATGTAATGGAAAAAGGAATGGAAACGCATTTTTTCAGCCTGCGTGTAATAAAATTAAATGTAAATAAGGCTCTCAAATTAAAAATCTATTAATGGGATATAGCAGCGCACTGCGCAATCATCTCTCTTTGTCAAACGATCAGTGTACTACCAGCATCGACAATATCAAAAAGTGGATGTAGCATGGACATGAACCAAAATCGACAGTATCAAAAAGTGGATGTAGCACGGACATGAACCAATCGGCTGTTTTATCGGCTCCGAAAGTGGATGTGGCCATGTAGTTCCAGGCGGCGTAAAATGGATGTACGTGACGCTAGTGTATGACCTAGAAAAAGTGTCCCACGAAAAACGGCAGCGTGGCGACTCTCATTCTTCTCTCTAGTTTTCATGTCTGGTAATTAATTTGAAAATTCAAGTCTTAATATTTCATAACTAAAAGGAGTTATTCCAGATAAATTGTTATACATGTACTATGTAATCCGTGATTCCATAAATGTAAGTTTCTTAAATCTATATATTATTCGCAATCGCATAACTAAAGCTACTACTAAGGATATTAATTCATAGTGTAGTGATAGTATATAGTATAGTAGTGCTCTCTTTATGGAAACGTTTTATAATAATATGTTTTTAATTAGTTATCATGAAGTTATCAAATTATTGTTCTTTATGTTATAATTGAAAT